TTCCTTTGATTTTCCTCTTTCTTTTGGCCTCTCATCTCCTCACCAATAGATCGGATTCTTTAAGTCTTTAAGATGTTTTTGGGTAATTTGTGCAAAGATTGTGTTCATGTTTTCTCTGTTGCTGTAATTTGTGCTAATAAATCATCATAGAGTCGAATAATTACTGAAATTACCGAGAAGAGAGAATCTCCCTGTAACAGCACCCCCCCCCCCCCCAGATTTATTGTATGGCAACCAAAAGTCACTGTAAGAAATAAATATGATATTGCACTAGTGTTGTATCTGTGTGGGTCTGTCTGTGAGTGTGTGTCTGTGTGTGTGCGTTTGATCCAAACCTCTAAAAGAATAAAGAAAATTCTGAAAATCCAACAAAAATAAATGTAAACACAAAATTTTACATTCAGAGAAGCAGGTTTAACAGCTGTGTGTATCTGTGTGTGTATGTGTGTCTAACAGCTGTATGTGTGTCTGAGTGTGTTTAACGGCTGTGTGTGTCTGTGTGTGTGTGTTTAATAGCTGTGTGTGTGTGTGTCTCTGTGTTTAACGGCTGTGTGTGTGTCTGTGTGTCTAACCACTCTGTGTGTCACTGTGTGTGTGTTAACCGCTCTGTGTGTGTCTTTAACGGCTGTGTGTGTGTGTCACTGTGTGTGTTTTTAACTGCTCTGTGTGTAATTGTGTGTGTGTTTATCTGCTCTGTGTGTAACTGTGTGTTTAACCGCTCTGTAACTATGTGTGTTTAATCGCTTTGTGTGAATCTGTGTGTGTGTTTAACTGCTCTGTGTGTGTGTTTAACCACTCTATGTGTAACTGTGTGTTTAACCGCTCTGTATAACTGTGTGTGTGTTTAATGTCTGTGTGTGTGTCTATGTGTCTGTGTATAAGGGCTCTAATAGGGAAACATCTCAGTAGGTGGACCCATAGACATATAAACAGAGATGCCACGTTGAGCCTGTTGGTCCGGTGCAGCAATGCCCGTACATACATACATACATACATACATACATACATACATACATACATACATAC